TACCACTGTGGTAAGACACAAAAAAAAGGTGAGAAAGACATGTTTTTGAGACTAAATGATACAGTGGAAGAAATGAGCAAAAAGGGCCTCCTAGAGGTAAAAGGGCATAAAACTGGAATATTCTTAAAATATAAAAAGATCTTGGTTACCATTATATCAAGCTTAGATCAGTTGGTTTCCTCTGACATTTCCACAGGTACCACCTGGGCACCATCATAGGCTTGCACATGCAACAAAGTCAAGTCCTAGCCTGGTGTCTGGATGCCTCGCCACACGCAAGGACATTTTCCCAAAACAGTTTTGTTGGGCTGGGGATGTGGCTCAAGCAGTAGCACGCTTGCCTGGCATGCATGGTGTGCTAGGTTCAATCCTCAGCACCACATACAAATAAAATAAAGATGTTGTGTCCACCGAAAACTAAAAAATAAATATTAAAATAAAACACAGTTTTGTTTTGTGCTGTTGGAGAATCAAACCAAGGACTAAGGCAGTTTTTATTCTTTCCAAAGGAAATATATAAGAATAAGGAATAACTCATTGATCTTTTAAAAATTATTACATTCAGACTATGAGAGGAAGGAGGCGAGGAGGGAATGTAAAGGGCAAGTTCAAGCACTTCAGCACCAGCCTGTCCATCCTGGGTTCTGGGATTGTGGGAAAAGGCTCTGGATCTGCCCAGGAGGCACAGACTGTAACCTGCAGTGTTAGGGCTCCAGGCCCTCAGGCTGTTAGTGGCCTAGCCCTTCAACTAGACTCTGCTTTGACCCACTGCCAAGGTTCCTGAATTTAGCATATTCATGGCCTGGAGAACTTGATAAAGTAGTTTTCTGGGCCCTATTTCCAAATTTCTGTCTTAGGAACCCTGGTATCAGACACCACCCCCACCCTCCACCCCTCCACCCCACCCCCAATTGCATTTCTAACAAGCCCCCATGTGATTCAGACAGCTGGTTCCAGGATCACACTCTGGGAAACACTGGCCCAGGGCCTCTTCATCCTGGTTGTCCATTAGGAACACCTGAGTGCCAATGAATTAGTCTGGGCAGACAGGTGCCAGGTAATGGTAATGGATCCCCTGTGCTGACTACATTCAGCTTCATTTCCTATTGGTGTTTTCAAGTTCACTGATGGCTCATTCTAATCAGGTTTCATCAAACAGCAGATATAGAGAAATTTCTATATAAAGACCCTAGAAACAAGAGGCAGGACACAGCACAGCATGCAGGACCATGTGGGGAGGCACCAGGGTCAGTTGTCAAGCAGAATGGGTGAGGGCAGAGCCTGACATCACAGAAGGCAGGGAAGGTACCCCAAGTTTAGAATCAGCTAGTTGACCAATTCAGTGGGTGCTGGGCCATAGGAGTAGTCCCTGCTTGTCTGGTAGCTGGCCCTTGGATAGGGGCAATATTGGCTTGGCATATGAAGGCTTGATGAAGGGGATTATTAAGGGTATGGGCTCTGGATTGGTTGACTTGGGTATCAAAGGCAACTTGGAAGGGGAGTCCTTTGCTATCTCTAGGAATTAACTAGCCTTGAGAAAGGCAGTCTCTCTGGGATTGAGGCCTCAAATACTAGAGCATCAAGAATATAGAAAATAAGAAAACATAGTCCATTCAGTAGGCTCCACAACTTCCCTTTCTAGTCACCTCCCAGGTTCTGACCTAAGTCTGTCTCTGTCCCCAATACCCCTCTTTCTTATTGAAACTGTACTCTAGATTGTACAGCTTACTTAACCTAAATCAGAAAAAGGAAATGAACCTTTATCAATTGTCATAAAAATCATGAGAATGAATCAGTGAACACCTACATATTAATTAAAGCCCTTAATTAGGAAGAGTAGGGAAGTTCCCTAGAAATTAATAAAAGACATTTTTATGCAATAGGCACTAAACTCAAGGACCTTACTACCTCAACAGGTGGTTCATGTTGGAAATAACTTCAGGGAGAACTGTGTATTTCCTGGACTGCATTCGGTGAGCCTACTGTTCCATAAATGTGACAGATGTGGATTGTTCTGAGAACTATGATGTCTGAGCTCAGGAACATAACACCCCCAAACTAGCACTTTGACATGCCCTAGAAACTGCCTCAGAGTCAAGCTCCCTCTAACCTTGACTTGTTTCTACCTCAAACTCAAGAAGACGCTCCCTCTGAAATTGTGTCACCTGCCTTAAGACCTCAACATCAGTGAGAACACAGTAGCCTTCCATTGCGCCCTAAAATCTCACTCTCTATCACAGAAAAGATGACAGAATTGACCACACTTGGACTGATTGTCATGGGACAATATCTTCCTCATGGGTTCATTCCAACTCTTAAAAGAATCATTCATGACCCAGGTGTGGTGGTGTACACCTGAAATCCAAGAGACTCAAGAGGAGGGTCACCAGTTTGAAGTCAGCCTGGTCAACTTTGTAACACTCTGTCTCAAAGTAAAAAATAAAAAGGGCTGTGGATGTAGCTCAGTGGTATAGCAACCCTGGGTTCAAACCTCAGTACCACGGGGGGCAAAAAAAGCATTCACAAGTTGTCCCTAACTTAGTCATTCTCCCTAATAATCATTTACTGTCCCTAAAATTGCCTACATTTCCTTTTACCCTGTGATGTGGGTATTTAAGCTTCAACCATCTGGCCTTGAATTTCATGTTGTATGTGAACCCCATGTTTGTACACATTAGTAAATTCACAATGGCTCGTTAGCTCCTATTGATGTGTCCACTGGTGGTTCACTTCAGGGAACCTTGAGAGGGGAGAGGGGAAGCTTTCCCTTCATGGACACCCTGCATCAGCCCAGCACAGCCATAGGACTGAGAATGCAGACCACTGTGTCAACATGGCTTCATTGTTTATTCCAGGAGATCTTTGCCCAAGGAAGATTATAGCCCAATATTTCACTTTTACTTCAGGAATTTCCTGCTGATGAGTTTGCCTGAAATAGCAGATGCTGGGGGCCAGAGCTTGCTAACCAAGCACAGCTTACCTGCCAAAACCTTCAATATCCTGCTATGTTCACCAGTCTTGAACTACCGTAGTCCTTGCCTTGAAAGGCACATCTTCGCCCACTTGAGCCCAGAACCCCTGAAACCCTACAAGATTCTCCTTGATGTCCCCATACTGAGACGTAGCTTAGACACTGTGGCACTCCCTTACTGCCTTGAGTTCTCATTAATTTAATATTGTTCTATTATGTGACCTGGTATTATACTGGGGAACTCAACATTATTTCAAGAGCAAAGGGGCTTATAATCAAATAAGCTTGGAAAATGCTAAATACAGATTCCACTGTTATGAAAACTATAATCACGTTAGCATAATAAGACTTCAGGAAAGTTCTGCATTTAAAAGATAGGAGATTAAACACACTGGCATCTTGTGCAGGAGAATCCTTCTGCAAACCTACTAACTTCTCTAAGAACATTTTTTACCCTTAACATCAGTTTTTAAAACATGGATTTAGGTCCACTCTTTTATAATTCATGACAAATTAAGGGCCCTGACCAACTTGCAGTTAATGTGAGTGAGAAGGCTCCAGGTTCTCCATACTAGAGGTGCCCTTATTCAACAAAAGCCTCTGTGCTAGGCTGGCACCCTGGCTCCTCTAGGTAGGAAAGATTCTTTTTTTTTTTTTTTTTGCTTTACTGGTAATGGGACCCAGGGTCTCACACATGCTAGGCAAGTGCTCTTCCCCTGAGCTGCATCCTCAGCTCTTTTTATTTTATTTTGAGATAGGATCTCACTAAGTTACCCAGCTGGTCTTGAGCTTGCAATCCTTCTACCTCGGTCTCTTAAGTAGGAGTTTCCACATTCTTAATGAGAATTCCCTGGAGCTCACCCATCTGACTGCAGATGGCCACCACAGAAGGCCTCCATCCACTGTGTCTGAGCAGAAGAGCCAGGAGGTTTTCTCTCTCTGGACTCCCAAAGCCCCTTGAGCAGCCTGCCCACTGCCTGCCACAGGCTCTGTGCAGAAGGAGTGCTCAGAGACGCCTACTCCTGGGAGATTGGAGGAAACCTCCTTCCAGAACCTTCCTGGCTGTCCCATTCAGGACAGCTAACTGCCCTATCATTTCCACTCTGGAAAACCCCTGGTTTTGTCTCAGCTTCAGGAGAAGAAATCAATAAGATATCAGAACATTCTAGGATTCAATGTCCTGCCCATGAAATAAGTGTGTAAGCAAAGACGTTTATTGGCCTCACCAAATCAAGGTTACTCAAAATACCAATGAGCGTTTTACAAGTGCGATCCTTGAAATGTTCTCATTAAGGATCACTGTTGACTAGCATAAAATGCAGGTTTTTCAATATCAATTCTGATACTAAGTGATAATTTTCTCCTGTTTGATATTATAACATTCTCTTTAGTTCCAATAAAATAATTTGAATAGAAGATGGTATAGATTAAGATGGAAATTCCCATCATCCTCCCATCTAGAGATAGCTTACTCAATTATACCTGTGTGTTTCAGTTATATAGATACATAAATGTATGCAATGCAAAAGGTAAAAACGTGTAAATATATGCTATGCATTTAGAGTTATATATATTTCTCTGATTGTATATGTACCCTTGATATAAAAAACGGATTCATTTTTCAATAACGAAGAATAATTAATCACCATTAATATTAATTATAGTGATTAAAAGGAAACATCTGTTAAGACAGGCTGGAATCCAGAGCTCTGGCTGGGTGTAGTGAGATAAAGCAGAGCTGCCAACAGGAGGAAGTTTAATAAACCACTTGGAAAGAAGGGACTGTGGGAAGGAAGAAGCAAAGGAGGAAAGCAGAAGGAAGGAAGGAGAAAAGACAGGCATGATCTAAGACACTCAGGCGAGGCCCTGCAGCCTGGGTTTCTGGAGACACTCCCCACCCCCACCCCCACATGCTGTCTCATCATTCTGGCTCTCTGCTGCTTTCTCAGATTTCATAGCAATCCATCTGCAGAGGAAGCCAGAGTTTTTTATTTTTTTTTTTTATTATGCTGCAAAACCCATGCTGTTTCAGGTCTACTGAACTGAACATGGGCTATGGCAAAATTTTCCCCCGCCTCCACCCCATGAACTGCTCACTGTTCTTTCTTCTTGTTCCAGCTTTATAAAGGGGAGAATCGAGGGTTGGTGTAAGGTCATTCTGAAGGAGAGTTGAGAATTTCTCATAAGGAATAAATGCCCAGTGACCCTGCATCTTCCCAAAGCGGGGTATCCAGGAGCCTTAGTGGCAGCCCAGCAGAAAATGGCCCAGCTCAGCTTTAACCTAGAAGCAGAGAAATTTGCAGTCTGCTGGAAAGAGCTTCCCCTCCCTGCCAAAGACCTGCTCAAATGCAAGAAACGGCGGTAAACGGCTCTTTTCTTCCTGGTATGTTCTTTGCACTGAAAGCTTGTCCCAATCAAAGAGAATCCAAAGGGCACACATGCTAAGTTGGTTCTTGGAATGCCCAAGGCATTCTATGATGTTGTGGGGAAAGGTTTCAGGCTTGCCAATTATAAAGACTGCATTGCTGGAGGGATGAGGAAGATACTGACCAGCCAGGAACTGGGGCCCCTGAAACACCAAAATTAAGGCTTACTTTTACACCCACAACCCTGCAAAGCTTTCCTGTGGTCAGCAGGGGAGGGCAGCAGCAGGGATGATAGATAGGCCACTCCCATGGGTAAGAGAGGCTTAGGAAGCTGAGCAGAAAGGGGCAGGTGGCCTTGTTCTGTGCTAACCTTTCCAAAATGCTATTTGAAAATGGTACTGAGAGTGTGCATTGGAAGAAAGCACTCGTTCTGAAAGATGGAAGGGGTGGATGACCCCTTCAAAGGGGTCATGATGTGGGTTCAAGGGAATCATGCATTAAGGATCTAATCAGTACTGGGGTTTTTAATTGAAAGCAGGACTCACTGTTCTTGGGATTACCAAGGGTTTGTTTTGGTTTTCTGGTCATTTTGAATGACCATTTTGAATCCAATTCCCTTATCCCAGTTCCCTGGAACTCCAGGAGGCTTCAGGTATATTGCATTTCTATAGGACAACAACTTTCCTGAGTCTCAGTGACTTTCAGGAGGAGCTAAACTCTGCCTCAGGTTAGATGGATCTCCAGAATGTCCCTGAGAGACTAGAGCCATTTGCCAGCCCCAGCCCTTGAGGCCGCCCTACCACAATAGGTGCTGTCATCCATGTGCTGCTGGGAGGGGCTGAAGAACAGAGGCTTACCAACGGGTGGGTGACCTGGCAGGGACGTGGTTGGTTGCAGTGGAATCAGGTTGCCATGGGGATGAGAGGTTTTCAGCTCAAGCTGTTTGAGAAGCAAAATTTCCATTGTGTATATGTAAACATACTGTAGCATCTTTGGTTTTTAAATTCTTTTTCAAGTAGCATCCACTGTGGGTTCATACGTTAAAGAATGCATGTGTCTGTGTGTATGTGTGTGTATACATATATGAAATTCCCCAGGGCACAGCTCCATGGAGGGTGGCTGGTTTCAGCACTTGTTTGGGTGCTAAAACCAAAAATATAGAAAGGAGGGGGCAGGGATACTTTTCCAGAAGCCCCTGAGTCCATCCAGTCTGTCAGGCATCTCTGCGATATTGCCAGGGGCCAGCCAAGGACTAAGATGAGCACCAGAGATAGGTCCAGGACACCAGGTAGGCCCAGGACAGTGATACAATAATCTCTTCTCCCCCTTCAACCTTTTTTTTTTCTTTTTTTAACCCAGGGGCACTTAACCAGTGAGCCACATCCCCAGCGCTGCCTTCAACTTTTGACAAACTTTACTCACAAACCAAAGTTCCTTCATTTTTCCTTATCCCCTCACCCTACTATGGATCAGAATCTGCTTATCAGAGAAAACATTCGGCTTTTGGTTTGGGAGGATTGGCTTATTTCACTTAGCATTCTCTAGTTCCATCCATTTACCTGCACATGAACATAATTTCATTCTTCTTTAAGGCCAAGGAATACTCCATTGCGTATATGTACCACATTTTCTTTATCCATTTATCAGTCGAAGGCCATCTAGGTTCATTCCATAGTTTAACTATTGTAAATTGAGCTGCTTCTGTTTAACTTTTTGAAGAGCTGCCAAACTATTTCCCAAGCAAGCTTCTGTGTACTTTTGATGAATATGTTTCCTAGGATAGATGAGAATTGTTCTCTAATGGAATTTGGCATTAAGCATAAATATATAATATATATATATTTAATTCTCTCATTCATACATCAGTTTTTTTTCTATTTTTCTCTGAGGGTTTCTGTGTGTCTTCTTGGTTCAATTTTCTTCTATTGAATTGATTACATATAACATATCTGAGGATATCACTGAATTGATTGATAATCTATTGATTCATTGACCTAGACTGGCAATAATTTGGGCAGGGCAAATTCTCCTGGTTTTCCAAACCCTTAAGCCACCTGGCGAATCCAGCAACACTTGAATTCCACTACCCATTCATGGGGACCTTCATCACCCTCTTTCACCCCACAACCCGTCTCCACCCAGTGTACCCTCAGGAACTCAGAAGCTCAACCAGGCCCCCACAATTCCCTGAGCTCCTTCTCAAGACTGCATGGTACTGCGGTCTCTATTGCCTGCTCCTGCCTTTTTCTTGATTTTTGTCTTGAAGAGAGCATATTCCTACCCTCACCTTACCCCACAGACCAGGGGATTGGGCTAAGACTAAGCTCCTGGAACTTGGTAAAAGAGCACACTGACAGATGACTGGCCATAGATTTGGATGAAACTGTTTGAGATCCTGAAATAAAAACAGCCTAAGAGGAAGAAGAAGCTGTTCTAGATGTTCCAGACTTGGAGACTGCAGGATCCTTCTGCTACATTTTGCTTCTTTTCCTAGTATTTTCATTGTGAATATAGCATATATTTTTAAAAAAATACTTGGGGGCTAGGAATGTAGTTCATTGATAGATACTCTGTATATAACTCTGAGCAGAGAGAGAGAGAGAGAGAGAGAGAGAGAGAGAGAGAGAGAAATATGTGTAATGATAAACTTTTACACACACATATATATTTTTTTCAGTTGTAGTTGGACATAGTATATTTATTTTATTTATTTTTTTATGTGGTGCTGAGGCTCAAACCCAGCACCTCACATGCACTAGGCAAGCACTCTACTGCTGAGCCACCATCCCAGCCCTGTAATAATAAACTTAATGAATAATTGGAAAGATTAAGCAACGGAATATGGCCCAGCTCTCCAGGACTTCCCATCTACTCTGGGAAACCCTGGCCAATTCTAACTCCTTCCCTCCCCTTTAGCCCTGTTCCAAATTTCATAATTAAAAAAATTTTTTCCCATATTTTACCACTCTTGTATGCAACCCTAAATTATGATTCCAGTTTGCGTGTTTCTGATCTTCACAGAAATGAAATAATGTTATATGTATTCTATTTGGGTTTGCTTTGCTTACTTGACTTTGTGGGTCACATTCATATTGTTGCACCTTACTGTAATTACTTTGTCTTTACAGATGGATAGTATTCCATTGTACAGATATGCAAAATTCATTTAGGACATATATGCTATAAATGCTGATTGTCATTGGGTTGTTTCCAATTTGGGGCTATTAAAAAAAAAAAACACTCTGATGATCCACCTTTGCTCCGTCTCTGGGAGCAGAGTGCATGCATAGGAGTGGAATTGTTAGATCGCACTGTGTATCTTCACCTCTACCAGTGAACGCATATCAGCCTGTTTTCCTAAACAGTTATGTCATTCTCACCCCTGCCCTGGTGAGAAGGTGCCTGCTGCTCCCCTGCTCTCCAACACTTGCAAAACACTCTACAAATCCATATAGGCTGGGGGCTGTTTATTCACTCTACCAGAGCTAAAAATGTTTAACAGGGGGGCTGGGATGTGGCTCAAGCGGTAGCGCGCTCGCCTAGCATGCGTGCGACCCGGGTTCGATCCTCAGCAGCACCACATACACCACATACCAACAAAGATGTTGTGTCCGCCGAGAACTAAGAAAAAAATAAATAAATGTTAAAATTCTCTCTCTCTCTCTCTCTCTCTCT